AACAAGTACTGAGTTTTTCTTTCTTGTGTGATTAGAAACTCTGTAGCTTAAATCAAGTTAAATGTTATTAGGTGGTGACTTGTAGTCCAAAGCTAGTGGCTGTAAGTTCTCACCTGTGAAAAGGGAATACTGTAGCTCTACACAATATGTTCTTCCAGCTGCAGCTGAATTTCTGCTGTGTTAAAATCCTTAGGCAGCTGCTGCACTGTGTCACACTGATCTGGCACTTTGCATTCTCCAAGCTCTGCTCAAATATTCAAACTGAGTAAAGCACTGCATGGGGCTGAGAGGTAGATGAGCATCACTACAACTTTACCGAAAAAGAAACAGCCCCTGAGAGGTTAAAGCGACTTTCCCTCATCATGCAGCAAGTCAATGGTGGAGCTGGAGTTACAGCTCGGGAGGTTCCTGGCTTGTGCTACACTACAATGCTGTGGAGAAAGGTCATTTCCCAAAATAGTACAGAAGGTTCCCGTTTGTTATTGATAATAGGGCAACAAAGGGCTCTAGATGTATTCACGGGTCGCTGTCCTTAATAATACATAATTAGCAACCTGGCAAAGTTGGCTACATGACTTTTTTCTGGGGCAGTATCACTTTCAGAGTTAGTTTTGTCTACTACACTCTTGGTAGGTATTTTTAGTTTGGCTTTTCTAACACAACTTTATTTAAAGTAGGGACATTTACAAAGCAGGCATAGCCTCTCCATTAACAGTCACATTAAACTGCATATTCAGCTCACCTTTTGGATTAGTACAGTTCCTCCACTGAGATCAGTAGGCAGTGTTGGGCCTGCGGGCAGCAGCTGGGGCGCTTTCCTCTGCCACTTTGAAGCCATTGAGCAGAGCTCTCTCTGCCTGGGAAGAATACAGAGGTGATTAGAGGATATTGGTGGCAACATTTTCCATCGTTTTGGTGGTTGTGTGAAATGGAGCTGGGGCTAGCATGGGAGCCCACAGGGGTGCCTGATTTATTTGGTCTTCAGGTCTTCCAGGGAGGAAAGCAAACCCCATCCCCACCCAGTGGGACAGGGAGCAGGATGATGAATACTTGTGAAGAGCTTTTAATTGAGATTAGGTCCCAACCATTCCTCAAATGTCCTCGGGGCTAGGGTATTTGGTAGGTATTGATGGATCTTGTAGAATTTTTTTTTAATTATTCTTTTTACAAAATGTTATTAATCCCCTTTGAACTTACAGGCTTCAGCAGTGTACTTACTGAAGCTTTTTTTCTTGTTTTTCCTCTAAATGAATTATTTGAACTGCTAGGTTACTTAGCAAATTCAAAATAGTTTACTGAGTAGTAAGTATGAAGCTTGAATTTTGTTACTGAGGACCTAGATCTATGCAGCTGCAATCAAAAGACCACCAAAATGGTATTTTCTCTCAGCTAAGACTGAAAAACTGCAGTGAATGATGGTGGGAAGAATGACATTCACAAAACAAATAGTTGTCGAATCAATTTACTCAGCCCTGTTTTGGTTTGAGTTTGAGTGAATTGTTTCCAAACAGGCAAACACCAAGAGGAAAAAAAAAGTGGAAAACAAAATGTGTAAGGAAAGTTAAGAAACCAGAGCATGTATAGCATACAGAAATGGCAGGGGTGCTGTTCTCTCATCTTTATATCTGCAGATACATGTATTTGAATTACCAAAGCAATAGGAGCTTTATGTGCTGTATTTGCTTTTTAATGCTTGTTGGTTGCAGTAATTGGATCTATTGTTGTGACCATTGGGAATGCCAGCTTGGCTCTCACAGTCACTGACTTGTGAACATGACCTTCTGGAGGTCAAAGCACTAGAGAGCTTGCTCTGTTTAATTCTCAGAGGTACCAGTCGTAATAGTTACTGCTTTGAAAGAACAATGTAGATGTTCCCTACCTCTGTCTAGTTTGTTGTTTGTACTGAATTGTAGTGTAATTTTTTTTTTTTTGGGGGGTGTGGTGTGTGTGTGTGTGTTGTTTTGGTTTTGAGTTTGGTTGGTTTTTTTTTTAACTAATTCATCTTTTAACTGTTTTCAAGTGGATTCGGGTTTGTTTTTTGTTTTTTTTTTTTTTTTTTAAACCGCAATTGAGTTTTCACAACTCAAGTTGGTTAAATAACTGATCAGAGATTTAACTGTAAATGCTAGTCAGTGTTTTTGAGTGATGTTTTGGTACTTGATCAGGCATCCTGCTTGCATTTTTCCTGGTGATCAAGTCAGCCATCCTCCAACAGTCCCACATAAGAAAAACAGTGTCCTTTCAGAGAGAAAGAAGAAAAGATAATCTTATGTGATTGTTGCCAATTCATGGTAAATGCTGATGGCTACATAATTTCAGTGTTGAGTACATCTGCCTTCCCTTCTAGGGAACTCCAGAGAGACCTGAGTAAAAGCATCCTACAAAAAAAAAAAAAAAAAAAAAAAAAAGAGACAAATGATCGCTAAAGAGTCTCTCAGTTCGTGCTACTGGTCTCTCAGTTTGGGCAGAACAAAGTTTGAGTCCTTGTAGCAGAAAGGAAGGTTTCAAGGTCGGTGTGGTTTGTGTTTTCTGGCATCAGATGGCTCAGTGGTTCCTCTTGGTATGAATCCTTTCCAAGAGCTAGGGGAGTTGCTGTCAGTCCTCAACTTTCATCCTACAAACCTGTCAAAACATAGAGTATTTTAACACCAAGCCTGACATTAAACAGCCCATAGATTCTGTGATCCAGATGGACTTACAGTAAAGCAGTCATGGCACTGGTGATCAGATCGCCTCCTGGAAGGTTCAGGTGGAGATAGTTGTACTTCCTCGGAACTTCTTTATCTCTCCCTAAAAAATCATCAAGATATAACTACTATGTTGCCTCTACCAAAGATTCAATTTGAGCTGTTTTGAATGGGGTTTTTTGTTTTTTTGTTGTTGAGTTTTTTTTTTTTTAAATCCTGGTGATTAGCTGCCTTGCACCACATGGCTCCTTTAACAGTGCTCACATTACCAGCTGAAATCTGCATCTGCTTTAGGGCTGTTTGGGATCAGTGGGTAGATTTACTCTGTCTAGCTAGTAGTGATGTTGTTCTGGAATTAGGAGAGTTTAGACCTCCTTAAAACTGGACTCCTATTTACAGCAGATTTAAGTATTTTTATGTCTTGCTAGAGCACCTTATTTTTTTGCTGCTGCTCTGTGGTTTGGTCAGGGCAAGCAGCATGCTGTATATCTGTCTGCAGTTGTTTGGAACTGATGTGGTGCACTGTGTGTTGTACTCAGATTTACAGCCACTGTAAAAGGAACAAGTACTTGTTACCCTGGATTTTTTTTCCCCTCCTCAATATGTCAAACTGCCCTCTGTTCCTTCAGAAGTGTATTGGACTACTCAGAACCGGGGAAGACGTGTTAAAGAAAACGGTGATCAGAGTCCTAAATCAATTGCCTCGGGTCTCATTTTATTCTGGGTTCTGCATTTCTGACTTTTTTTTGACCAGGGCTTTTTCACTGCTTTGTGATGGGTAAGATCTACTGAGGTTATAAAAGATTTTGCAGCTGGAGGAGAGAAGATGCAGAGCTGGCAAGATCAAGACTCCCAGCTGTTGTGTAAATAACTTCTTTTGAGAGGCCTGTTTGTGGTTAAGTAGTGCAAGGCATTGCTATTAGTCAAGAAATGTGGGTTCTGTAACCCCAACAGATTCAAATCCATTTGGATCCTTCCCCCTCCCTCCCTTGTTTTTCCTTGATATCTTTTGTTTACATGGTGTGGCCTTGCTAAAATTATCCATTCCTCAAGTTTTCCTTCTTGCTCATATTTTAAGGTTCTCATGAAGGTGTATTTCTGCAGTCTTTCTGACAGTGAACTGCACTGTGTGTTGTATTGTTCCCCTTGTTGTTCTGTCTGTAGATGGAAAGCTACTAGAGCCAGTGTGAAATTCATGCTACTTTTAATTACTAAGAGCACAATCCCACTTTTGCAGAGGAAATCACTGCACTGTGGTTTTTAGTGTGTTTTCTGCATTATTTCATTTTTTTGGTAAAAGAAATCCTGTATAGTTGAGGAGGATATATGACATAGTGGCAGCACAGAGAAAATAAGATGTGCAGTCAGGGGATGAGGATGGATAATTGCTAAGTAAGGTGTTCATATTCCGGTGTTATTTGTGCAAGGAAGAGGTAGATCATTGGAAGCAGGTGCTCTGTGCAGCTGCTACAGCTGTCTGCCATTCACCTTTCCCAGACGTGGGCTTGAGTTATGCTGTACTGTTTGATCATAAATGGGAAAAAAGAACCATGTTTTGAACTTGGAAGTGCCTCAGGGTTGACTTCCATTCCTTATAAATTAAGAAAACCCAGTTGTTTTGCTTCAGCCTGAGAACCATAGTTAGGCTGTATTAATCTATTTTCTGATACCTCTCATCCAAAATAACCTACAGGCTCTGTCAGGGCACAGCCATATTGAGCTTGCTGGTGAGAAAGTGTTGGGTTTGGGTCCTTCTACAGCTCTTTTATTAGAAGCTCAAACTCCTGCCTCTCCATTCCTGGAGAATTCTATTGGCAATCATCTCAGGTGTCACCACCTTGAGTCTCAGGTCCTCCCTTTAATGACCTGAAGACTGGATGAGGTCTGGCAGGTGCGTGGCTACCCACTAGTAAGAGAAACTGTGCTGCTTATCAAGAACACCCTGGGATATATCCGTACGGGCAAATGGATGGTGTGGTGCTGTCCTCTCTTGGGCTGTCTCTGCCCAGTGCCTCAGACTGCGTGCTGGAGCTGAAACAGGTGAGACTTTCTTCCCAGCAGTTTCAGAGCACTTAGCAGCTGTCTGGGGAGATCTTTCAGACTTTGAACAGGTGAGAAAGGATCTTTCCTTGAAGGTAGCTTTCTTTGTTGGCTGTCCTATTTATTGCCAGGAAGGAAAGGGGAAACAAGGCCACCATCAGAATTCAAGTTGAATGCTTCCTGGGGATGGTGTAAGATTTCAGATTTCACATGACTGACAGTATTAAGTGCATTATTGGGTGTTGCAGGTGCTTTTTCCTTTCATGTTAACAGGAGAGAAGTCGTCTGCATTACTGGGCCTCTGATGAGAAGATTTGAGGTACTTGGCAGTCTTACTGTAGAAGCAGGATAACTGATTTGAGTTTGTTATGACTCTGCAACTTGTTGCAACAAATGGGCCACCCTCTGCAAGACTAGAGCAAGAGGAGACAAGGTGTGTGCACTTCTGTGAGTACTGTTGGGGTGGAAGTTCTCTGGCTGTCCGTGTTTGCACAGTAAATTCAATGTCAACATATGTGCAGACAGCAGATCTCAGAGGAGTTAGGGGTGAATAGCCTTTCTTTTTGAGGTTTCCAGAAAGAGCTACAGAGCTAAAGGATTTCTTTGAGTTTTTGGCCTGTCATGAATTGGCAGATGGCTTGGGAGGAGGTAGTCCCTGGTCGTTTGGCAGTGCCAAGAGCAAACTTTAAACCATGCAAGCTTTTGGCAGCTAGGGAACACCCATATTAGAGACTTCAGAGTCCTGGCCTCTCTTTGGCTGCCAGTGACAGATTTTTGGTGATCTAGTTTCTTTTTATTTGGTCATTAAAAGCAAAAATTAGGTGTCTGAGTTCCTCTGTTAGTCTAGCTCAGGAAGCTAAAAATGTCCCATGGGAAACAAATTTTCTGAACTATACAAAAAACTGCCCCACCCATTTTGTTTTGGCTCTCTAAATGTGGAGGATTCTTGAAGTCTCTAGCACCAAATAAGAACCTGGATCTTGACAAGCTGTTGATTAGGTGACAAAAAACTAATGACAGCACTCACGTGAATTGTGCTGCCAATGGCAGATATAAAAGTTGAGGAACTGGTTATTACAGTGACAGAATCAAAAATCCTGGTGGAAGATGTCCAGTTTCTAAGGAACGCTCAGGAAAACCTCGCTGTGTAAAGGATTTTGGGAACCAGATCCAAAGGCAGTCGGTCAGAACATGGCCAGTGGCGCTCATTGTCAGGAACCACAAATTCTGCTCCACAGGAAATTCCTGTGTCTTTTTAAAACTTGTCTGACAGCAAAACGTTCCACTGGAAGAAACCTCTGAGCAATCCCAATTTCTGGATTTTTAAAAATTCTTTCTTCTGAAGTGCTAGTCAGTAGCATTTACCCTGAGAGCAGGATACTGGCTGGAACTGACGAATGAATGGGCTGATCTAGCAGGGTCAGCACTTTTCCCACATATGGAAGTGAGCTGTGAGCAGAATGAGCTTTTCGAGTAAGTGGAGAGTGCCCGAGGAGGGTAACAGCGATGATCACAAGCGCGAAGTGGCCCCTGCTTGCAGCGGGAGCGGACAGAGTGGGTCTGTCCGGCCCAGAGGCCTGCAGCGGGCAGCCATGCAGTAGCTCAGGGAAAGCAAATCAGGAGCTATTTTTGCAGTGCAAGTGGGCGTTTAGTGTATCATGGCAGCAAAGTACTTCTTACATAGTGGGTTTACGTGGAACTTGCAGGAGTACGTGCACTTGTACCCCGAGTGCGCGCCGGCGGGCGCACAGCGGGGCTGCGGCGGCCGAATTAAAGGCGGCACTTGCGGGAGCTTTGAAAGGTAGGCACGCACGCATGGGTGTGTGTAATAGCCTTTTGGCTATTACAATAGCCACGTGGCATTGTTTTCCTGTGAAAATTGGACGTGAATTAAATTTTATTATGCAATTATTAGCTCTCATAGACTAGCCGCAGGAAAGTAACAATGTGCTTATCACAAAATGCGTTTATCCATAAAATGCGATATCCCAATTTTGGGAAGTGATTAAGTGCACCCTAAATTATCTCTTCCTGGCTTGAGTGGCTGGAGGACTGTTCTTCCTGGCTCTGTTTATCTCAGAGAAATCTGTCACTTTGAAGAAGAATGAAGCTTGACTGGTGAAAATGCAGTCTTATCACAGTATAACCATATAACTGGATCTTATTTATCTTTAATTGAAATGTCAACTTAGAAGATGCAATGCATATTTTAAAATCACATTAACATTATATTTAGATCTTTTCATTAAGTTGTAGGTATGCAGTCCCATTAAAAATAGGTAGCTAGGTGTAAAAATGTGAAGTCTTAATGCTTGCTTACTAAATATTCGGAGTGTAAGCGGGCATCGCTCTGATAACACCTGTGAACAGAGCTATTCTGGTACGTTTTAAAAGTGTCACTAGCATGAGTGACAGCTGTCAACGTATGCATATGATTTCAGAATCATGCTGATAGAGGGAGCACTCCTGCAACAATTTACCTTTGCTTTATTCCCATGACATTTTTTTTTTTTTTTACTTCAATTTCAGTGAAAAAGATACTTTGATTTTATTGCTAAAACAACTGCGTCTAACTGTAATGGAATGCAATTGTACGCTGTGTACTGGGAGGTCTAGATGTCAGGGAAGTGTTAATCCCTGCAATACAAGGAATACAAGGCATGTATAGTTTTGCATCACTTATTTGGCTGGTTCTAGTTCTACATTAATCTACCCACACCGTTTTAGAGGAGTTAGTCCTACAAGGAAGCCAAGTGACTTTTTTGCATTCTCCTCAAACACCGCTTGCCCTCAGTACCCTGACAGACCCCGTGAGGCATGTGACGGTGTGGAGGCACTGCTCCGCTCCAGCCCTCACCTCCGGCTTTCTGGCAAATTGACCAGCACTTGGACGGATAGCTGCTGCTTCTGAGGGCATCCGGGCAGAGGGGAGCAGCAAGCCTTTTCTGAGCAGGGGTTAGACCAGGCCTGTGTGGCAAAATGCTTAAGGAGGCGGTGAGAGCCAGCCAGGGAAAACAGGCTCCTATCCATCCATGCAGGTACGCATAAATAGGTTCCAAAGTCCTACTCAGCTATGCGTGAGCACGTTAGTTACAGCTCTGACACTCCCATCTGGCTTCCTGTTAAATCTGTTAAAAAGCAAACTCTTCAGTCTAGTGTGTGAATGAACATTCCAGTCTTAAATAACAGGGAAAGAATCAAGAAACTCTTTGATTTATTTTTTTTTGACCAGCCAGAAGGCGAGGCCTATTTTTGGTTTTGGTCACATTAGGCTGTGCTGCAAATGTTGGCGTGAAGGTCAGAGGGCTCAGCGATAGAGAGCATTTTTCTATTCTTTATTTAAACAGGCACCTTCCCAGAAGAGTAACAATCCAAAGTTTGCAGTTCCAGTGAAATGCTGTCTGAGAAGTGCTGGGAAAAAAAAAAGGTATGTATGTGACTGATAGAAAGTAGAGGTTTGAAAAGTAAAATAGAGCAGAACTACATGCAAACAACAGAGGATACTACAGGAACTCAAAGTCTTTTTTCATTGACTACAGCCTAAATTGAAAAGAGTGTTGGTTTTGCGGGTTTTTGTTCAGAGTTGAGCCATATGTTGCGTTTTAATCATGGTTGAGGGGGAGGGAAATGGAACAATTAAAAAACAAAACAAAACAAAACCACCTCCTAGCATGGAATGGCCCCCCTCCCTACCCCCTCTCGTCTTAAAGTAGGGAAATAGGCTGCAGGGGCTTTGCAAGGCTGCAAGGAAGTGCAGAGTAGCACTTTCTGCTCTTCACTGTACAGTTGTTGGGCAGCTTGTTGAGGGGGTTGGGTTTTTTCTTTTATTATTATTTTTTTTAACTTAATGAAACATGTGCAGTTGCTGTGTTGCCCCCACCTGCTGCTACTGCTCAGCTCCAGCTCTAAATTATCTTAATTATCTTTTGTCCTTTTTTTTTTTTTTTCTCTTTTTTAAAAGTGTGGGTACTTAAGAGAGTCATACATGTAAATATAGCCACTGCTGGGCTGCTCAAAGACAGCTGTTGTGCACATGTGGAAGCACAACAGCTGCATTTCTGATGTATTTCCTGCTATCTAGCAACGGACTGGTTTCCTGGCATACATGGCACTATGTTCCCAAGAGCTACACAAGCCAAGGAAAATTCTGCTCTTTGGTTCAGATGTGACCTGTTAACTCAGCCCAGATTTGCCAAGGCACGTGTGACATCTGAGCCATCCCAAGGGACGCGATGCCAGCAGCACCGTGCTCGCACGGGCAGCCCGCTGCTCCCCACCCTACAACCTCCCACCGGGATTTTTTTAGGCCAAGTTTTTAAAAAGCCTTATTTGGTCAAGATGAATTGCCCCGAAGACGCCCACCTCTGAGGGTGTTGAGCTCGGGGCACTAAACCCACCCCCAGTCTTTTTGCAGGAGCTGCTCCATGCCCAGGGGTAGCTGTTGTCGCTTCCGGAATTTTTTAGTTGCTTCACTGGTAGTTTCTAAAACTTTTGAGGCAAGAGATGATGCCTCTTCCCTTGAAGCCTACTCGAGTGCCTCTGCGCTGAGATGACGACATACCACTTACTGCAGCTCTGCAGACACTGTAGCGGTTGGCAGACCTCCGGGTAGGAGTGATTGCGCTAGTGTTTTATTAGCTCTCAGAAAATATATAGTGGGGACGAGGCTGTGCAGGCTCCTGCACCGTCTGCCTGAGCTCTGACCCCTCGGGCCAGAGGCTGGATTGCTTTTACAGCCAGTAGTTAACCTTGCTGCTGAGACTTGTCAACAAGGAGGCCAATTAGCAGCAGATATGATGGTGGATGATATAATGCAGATGCCTGTTTGTTAGGAGCATAACTGATATATTTTTAACACAATATGTATTTTAAAACATGGCTCTGCATAAATGATGCCATCCTCTGCAAAAGAATCCCTCTCTACAGTCAAGTGTTACAGAAAATTTTAGGGTTTTGGTTTTTTTTTTTCCCCAAAGTCCGTCTCTTAAGCCTTGTTCTGCTGGGCTCATGATGACTGTGACAGGTGTAGGATTATAAGAAATAATTCTGCTTGAAAAAAAGTCTACTTTTAAGTTAATTATTATTTTTTTTAACATATATGGCATATTACAAGTATACATAGATGCAGAATGAGAACAGGGCAGCTTTTGCTGTTGAAGAGGGTCAGTAAACAAGCCAAGGCGTTTTCTGTCACCACATGTATATTGGTGTATGTATTAGAAAAGACAGGTTAGTGAGCATTAAATGATTAAAACTGTGCAGGTCCACAAGCGTGTTACAGCCACCTGCTGCAATGGGCCGTGCCACTTTATCAGGTATCAGCATGTGCCACTACTACCCCGATTTGGGTGCACATAGGCTGCTTCTCTCAGCTCTGTGGGTTTTGGTAAAGCTAGAGAGGCTGATTGCAAGAGGGCAGTTGATCTTTTGGTTGAGCTTGGGCCTGAGCTTTTAAACAGCAAGACTCAAGGGCTGGAGCTACTCCAAGACTTGCACCTATCTGCTAGCTGACTGCTCAGGCAGGGGAACTTGGTCCTCAGCTCAGCCCCCTCCCAGAGACACTGAGACACTGCCAAGTAGTGCGGGAGACAGCCGTGTCCCCTTTCCTCTGCCAGCCACGGCCCCCTCTGACTCACTCCCTGCACCTTCTCTGCTTGTTTTAACTGAAGATTTGAACCTACATCTTAACCCTTTTCCTTGGTTAGTGGTTAAATACCCGAACTTCCTTTTCTTGTTCAGTGGAGCCAGTAACTTGGGAGTGGCTCTTCTGGGAACGTGTCTGCTCTTAGGGTTTCCTTCTTTAGCTTCCTCTGTGCATTTTAATTATTTCATTAATCTTTGGTGAAAAGAAAAAAGCGCTTTTTCTAAAATGCTGACAAAATGCCTACATGGTATTTCTACAATAACCTCCCCCCAGATTTCCACTACAATCTTTAAATGCACAATGTTCCTTTATTCACTGCGTAGCACCTCTTTCAGGAAAGAGTTCTGGTTTCATTGGGGCTACTCCCAAGTAAGGCCAGGTTCACCCAACTACAGCTTGAGGATGTGATTTTTGAACTGCAGGGCTGAGGAGGGATGGGCCCAAGAGCTCAGTCATCCTCCCGGATGAGCAGACTCCTCAGAACAGGCATTTTCCCTCTTGCGGGGTTGAGCTGGCAAGTTCAGAGCCTACAGCGAGAAGTCCTGTAGCCACCCTAGGAGTATGTGCTGTATTTCCTCAACAGCAGGAATAATGAGAGCTTTCCTTTTCAGTTTCACCATTGCTAACATCTTACTGTTCTTCTTCGTACCTTGTCTTGTGGGAAAATCTTCTCCCCCTCCCTCCAAATCAAGCCTAAATCTATTTAAGGTGAAAAAAGAAAGGAAAACCAAGAAGAAACAAGAATATAGCCAACCTTTTTAATTAGAGTATATTGTACTTCCAAACTGGGTACACTAGAAATTGGCAATGCAACAGAAGATGCAAAGGAATATACCAGTTACTGTCAAAATGACCCTGTACAGCCTTATAATGCAAAAAGCTTTATACAATACAAATTTTTATTAATGTACACAAACCTTGACAGAATGATATTTGAACATAATACAACAAGTAAAAAAAAGGCAGAAGAAAGAAGAAAGTACTGAGAACTTTAACTGAATTACTGAATGGAAAAACATGCTAGCTTTCGTGAAATAATGCATAGTGAAAACCAGTATGAAATTACCTTTATGGTGGGGGGAAATTTATCAGAACTGTTGGTCACTAGTTGGTAGGGGGAACCTCTGGAGAACATTCCTTTCTTTAGCCTTGAACTGCAAACCAATTATTTTAATATGCACAAGCTCCGATAAATACTGTATTTTTTTTCTTAAAAAAATAAAAACCTCCTAACACACTTTTCCTTACAGAGAATACTTCTATAACTTGCCAGAAAGAATTAATTTATCCTTTCCAAAGTGCTAAACAAATTTCCCAGGTACATTAACCATTATGATGTCAAGATACTGGTACAGTGGAACGTTGTCGAACACGTGGCATGTGCATGCTGACAGCTCGTGTTTGGAAGTTCCAGCCCTGTTTAAACTGCCGTTTGGTTTACAGTGTGTCCTGCTAATATTCCTACTTCCTCCTAGACAGCTGTACTTGACCTGTCAGTTTGAAAAATAAGCTTTTTGATTTGGGAGTGTTTGCTCTTCTCTGGTGGGGTCAGAGATATACATGCCGAGTGTATTTTAAAGAACTGGTATAATTTCTGGATGCAGATTGCATATTTCATGCTGTTGTGATAGACAATTTTTAAATGCTTTGAGTATTTACTAATACAGCATTTTCTATTTTGTCTGTACTCCGGGGGCAGTTGGGTGGGGGGCAGTTACCAGGGGTTCTGATGGAGTAAAGCATGGCAAACAGGGCCCTGAGTTACGTAGACTGTTTACAAAGGTTTGTACGTACTTTGGAACCGATGGCTTGTCTTTACTGTGTAGACGGACAGAACTGCCACAGACTTTTTAGAACCAAAACTGGCTGCTGGAATGTGAACAAAATGGTGGGCCTTCTTTGTCTTTTAATTAATACTTCCAAATTATAACCTGCTACTATTTTGGATATTTCCCCCTTGTAAATAGCTTCCAGTACGTTAACAGGAGTGCACCGATTAGGGTGTCCTCCCTGAACAGGGAGAGTTTGGTCATGACAGTGGAGAATGTTTGGCCATCTCAGTGCAAAACAAATGTAGGAATCTTGCAAACAGGTTAAATGATGCAAGTTTTGCATCCAAAAAAAAAAAAAAAAAAAAGTAAAAAGTATTTCTACACAAGCTTCATTTAAGAACTAATGAAGACTGAGTTATGGTTCTAGCTGTGCATACAGCTCGGAGCCCTTGCGGACCAGAAATGCCTTCCTGAACTGGGGCGTTGCTTTAGTGCTGTCACCAACAAGGGGTTCGCTCCAAGTGGCCTGTCGGATGGCCCCGTCCCACAACAACCTGCAGAAGAAGTTCATTCAGGATGGTGTGAGGGGGGGTAGAAAGCATGTTAGCTGTGACTCAGGGCACCTCTGGCAGTGGCTTGGCCAAGGGGTGGAGAGGGGACTGACAGAAGCTAGGTCAGACATTTCTAATACCTGGTGAAAGACAGCGAGATCCGAATCCAAGGGACACCATGGAAAACAACAATCCCGTAAGAAAGTGTTCCTGTGGGTCACATGATAAGTTTGAAATGTTTCGTATTTTATACTTCCAATTTTAATGCGGGGTACTTTTAATCTTGATCTTTCTTCCTGGATATTAAGTTGTCTAAGAAACACAAATCGATTAGCAGTCGGTTAGCTTCTCTTACATTAAGATCACTCTTGGCATTTTGAGATTAACGAAGGTTATACAACCAATCCGCAGTTGCTTCTTCCTGCAATAAAGTGCTACGTATAACATGTCATTTTAATGACCACAAGTAGGAGCGTTAAATAAGTATAAAGTTAGCTTCCTAGCAGTGTACACTCTATCTGCTGTGAACAAAAAGGAATAAAGTATTACTAATAACATGGAGGGTATCAATAGGACTGTAGAATTTGCAAGTACAATTGAAATACTGAGGATATAAAAGAGAACTATATGGTTCAAACAGCATCTTTTTATAACTTTATATTTCAAAGAAGTTACTGGTACCTTTTCAAATAAACAGTCTTCTTACCTTCAGCCCACAGATTATTTTTTTTTCTTTTTTTTTTTTTTTGCAAGTGAGAAACAAACTAGTGCAAGACTAAAGCACTGTGCAAAACTGCCTTTTTTTTTTTAGTCTGAGTATTTATACCCAGAATTT